ACAAGATTCCAGGCAATGAACAAATAATACAAGGGAGCAACATGAACTATAAAACAAACAGACACGATAGGCTATATACTCGAGAGTAGGACAACACAAGACAAAGAACATGAAAAACACTGATATATTATATCTAATATAATAGATTGCAAAGACATTTTAAAAACATTTGTATTACTATTTGGAATAATATGCACTGATGAATCATTGACAATTAGAAGAGAACTGTGCACACTTCAAATAAACAGGGTCAGTTTTGATTTCATGTTGACTTTAAGAACTCCCTCTATGACTTATAATAGAGCCAACTGTTTATTGTGCATTTAAAATAGCTTTATAAGCCACTGTAAGGATAGGCTTTCCTTAGAAGAGACATTTCAGCGTCTGTTTGCAATCAGCAACACAAGTCACTTAAATCATGTGATGTCATCTCGCGTTGAAAGCGCTCAACACGTGGGAGGTATTGAGGCGGGAAACATGTTGAACAAGCGCCTTCCTCGCCGTGGTCTAGGAAATGTGGGAACAGGATGGGCAGCCGACCGCCCCATCAAAACACTGTGGTCAGCCACCACTTAAACTGCAGGCAGAAAATAAAGGAGGCCACGGGGAACGCTTTTAAATAAAGTCTTTTCGATAATTTGGTGAACAAATAATGCGCTGGTGTTGTTGTTGAAACCATCCCAAGTCTGACCCTAAAACTTGGCCAGTCAAAGGCAATCACTTTCTCTCTTTTATTGACGCGGGTTTAGGGCTTTTCTCTCCTGTCGTCAAGCGTTACAGCCCACCACCACCGTCCAGCTGTGATATTAACTGAAAACGATTAAGGTGGGACCACACGGGCGGCCCTCGGACTAGACTTTGCGATGCGGAGATGAAAAAGAGCAGTATTTTTAGGAAATCCCTGCAGAGGATGTCGGGCGAAAGATTTACTTCATCGCTGTAAAGCACATTTAAGTGCCACCTATGAAGAAAATGATTTTGATATATCATTTGTATCCAATTATGGAAAGGGAGTTTTTTTTTGTTTTTGTTTTTGGCGACGCCATATTAATCATGTCTCGTGAACGCCGAATAGAGCTCATAATGTTTCTCCAGTTCACAAAAAATAAAAAATAAAATAAATAAAAATTTGAGAGATCAGTGGCTTGGCTGATTTTTTGTATACACATTTTAATGTTAATTTCATAAATAACCTTTAAATAAATTATATAATATAGATTTTAAATAAAATGTACTAAATACGGTAAGGTCAAATGTTCTGCAGAAGGTCAAACTGAGGGAAACTGTATAATTATCAATAAATATTAATAAAAATAACAATAAATATATTATTGTTAATTTAAATGGGTGCTGTCAAATCGATTAATCATATATTATATATTATGTTAATCAATATTATTATTATTAGCATCATCATTATCATCATCCTCATCCTTCGTTTTCATGCTACTTCCACTTCCATGTTCTGTAACAATACATGTGTGTGTACATACACTCACCTGAAGGATTATTAGGAACACCGTACTAATACGGTGTTTGACCCCCTTTCGCCTTCAGAACTGCCTTAATTCTACTGGCATTGATTCAACAAGGTGCTGAAAGCATTCTTTAGAAATGTTGGCCCATATTGATAGGATAGCATCTTGCAGTTGATGGAGATTTGTGGGATGCACATCCAGTTCCCGTTTCACCACATCCCAAAGATGCTCTATTGGGTTGAGATTTGGTGACTATGGAGGCCATTTTAGTTCAGTGAACTCATTGTCATGTTCAAGAAACCAATTTGAAATGATTCAAGCAGCATTATCCTGCTGGAAGCAGCCATCAGAGGATGGGTACATGGTGGTTTTAAACCATTTCTAGGGTTTAAAAAGAATGGTGCGAAAAGGGGAAAAAACATCCAGTATGCGGCAGTCCTGAGGGCGAAAATGCCTTGTTGATGCTAGAGGTCAGAGGAAAATGGCCCGACTGATTCAAGCTGATAGAAGAGCAACTTTGACTGAAATAACCATCTCATCTCCACTACAAATAGGAAAAAGAGGCTACAATTTGCAAGAGCTCACCAAAATTGGACAGTCGAAGACTGGAAAAATGTTGCCTGGTCTGATGAGTCTCGATTTCTGTTGAGACATTCAGATGGTAGAGTCAGAATTTGGCGTAAACAGAAGGAGAACATGGATCCATCATGCCTTGTTACCACTGTGCAGGCTGGTGGTGGTGGTGTAATGGTGGGGGATGTTTTCTTGGCACATTTTAGGCCCCTTATTGCCAATTGGGCATCGTTTAAATGCCACGGCCTACCTGAGCATTGTTTCTGACCATGTCCATCCTTTTATGGCCACCATGTACCCATCCTCTGATGGCTACTTCCAGCAGGATAATGCAGCTTGAATCATTTCAAATTGGTTTCTTGAACATGACAATGAGTTCACTGAACTAAAATGGCCCCCACAGTCACCAGATCTCAACCCAATAGAGCATCTTTGGGATGTGGCGGAACAGGAGCTGGATGTGCATCCCACAAATTTCCATCAACTGCAAGATGCTATCCTATCAATATGGTCTAACATTTCAAAAGAATCCTTTCAGCACCTTGTTGAATCAATGCCACGAATTTATGCATGTTCTGGAGGCGAAATGGGGTCAAACACTAGTATGGTGCTCCTAATAATCCATAAATATACTGTATATAGACTGACTTAGATTCTTGCTTCTGCACGCAAGTGTAACGCCACCAGATGTGTACAAACACAAGCTTCTTTCCTGCTCATGGTTGCTATGCGACACTTTCTGGCCTATCTGCTTCCTCTTTGGACTATGGCTCATTTCCGTACGACGGTGCAAAAATAGCCAAGCCCTCTGCACCCCTCCATGTTGTTTCTTCCTCTCTACAATCCACGACATCGATCAAGCCTGTTCCCGGGCTTCCTATCTCTTCCTGTGGTCGACGGGAGTGAAGAACCAGGCTTGACTTCTCCTTTGACCTCATTTGATTTTTACTTGCTGTTTCCTATTGAACTGAGGAGAATCTTCACTCCTTATTCACCTGTTAAGGCGAGGATTTCTTCAGAAAGATACATTTTTCAGAAACTTTTCTCTTCTATAAGCTAGACTCTTTTGCTGGAGGGTAACACGACACCTTAAATACACCGTATAAGAACATCTGCCTCAGCACTCCTTCACATGAAATAGGTTCGCATGGGCCTCCTTTTTTTCCCCAGACCTTTATTTTGAAACCGACTCCTGCCAAGTCTGTCTTGTTGTCTCTAAATGTGTTATTTCTCGGGTCTGATTAATGTAGTCCTCCACCACAAGATGATGTTTGAAACATGGTAATCAAGATGTAATCCCCAAATCCCTGTGTGGTCAACACGACTGAATCTGGAGTTTCTCATCGCTGGGTTTTCTGCATTTATTTCACTAACCCTCTTGGAAAGGACGGGAGGCATGGAGCAGCGCCATGCCAGGTTCTGCAAACTGTGGCATATGCACTTTTTCCCAAGCCACAGCTAGACCGGTGCAGATTAATTTCCACTTCTATATTTTTACAGAAGGAGAAGTTAATAAACGACCGTAACCAGTTTCAGCACGTACTGAATGGACGGAACCATGTAAAATATACATGTCTTTGTTATTGTAAGTGGCAGCGTTTTGCTAAGAAACTTGTCCGTGACGGTTCTTGATCATCCAGGAATCTGAAATGATTCCTTATTATTATCGAAATCTAGAAACAATGAATGAAGGAAAATATCCCTTGTGGTCTCCACACTGGTAACAATTTCAAACGTTTACGTGACGTCACGCAAAGATTATCGGAAAACTACTCTGGCCCTTTTTTTTTTTTACGAGGTTCACATCTCCTTGAAGGAAGCACTGCCTCAGCTCTCATCTCAGATATCTCCAGCAAACACAGTTGTTTGCCCTGTTGGTTTGCTCCACAGATATTTCCTGAGGAAAACAGTTTAAATTCGCTCTGAGGTTCAGACTCCTTTTCCCGTAAAACTCAACTTGCGCTGACAAAAAGAAAAATTCAGTTGCACTACAGATGCAGTTAGAAATGCAGTCTATGTGATATAAATATATTCTAGAATTAGAGAAGAGGATGTATTCATTTACAACATTAATATACTTCAATTTCAAATATATAGCCTAATAAAAATACTATATACACTATAAGTCTCTCTGGAATACTAATTGGTATACTTGATTTAATACTTGATTCAAACTATATTGTAAGGATCCACTGGAGGCAAGTTGTAGCGAGAGAACCCAAGTGCAGTTTTATGAACACATAACAAGATAAAACATGAAATAAAAGTATGATGTGGCATGAAACAAATACTGTGAACATAAACTTCCAAACAGTGGTTACAGGTAACAATACTTGACAAAGACACATGGCAAACATGAGGGCTTAAATTAACACAGTCTCATCCCAAAAAGTCATATAACTGACGTCTTGGGACGTCTTATGACCATACATCAATATCCGCCTTTTTAGGGCCCCCTTAAACGTCGGTAGATGGCGATCCCGGGCCATCATACAACTGACGCTTTACCTTTAACGTCAGTTAGGTGACGGGTTAGGTTTAGGGGTAGGTTTAGGTCTGGGGTAGAGTTAGGATCCCATAACCTCATCTACCGACGTTTAAGGGGGCCCTAAAAAGGCGAATATTGAGGTATGGTCAAAAGACGTCCCAAAAACGTCAGTTATATGATGTCTTGGGATGAGACCGGGTTGCTTAAATACACAAGACTAATGACAAGACAAGGGACATCTGTGAACAATGAACAGACGATTAACCAATGACAAGACACATGGCAGGAGCACATGACATGACAGACACGGAACATGAACAAAACGTGACAGAGACAAGACCAAATCGTGACAGATCCCGATTCCCGACAGAGATATGGCGAGTATGCAAGCAGACGATATTCAGAATGGGACTTAGCTGAATGATGAGAGTCTTTGTTTACAGATGCGGGTGGAGACTCACTGGGAACAGGTTGATGATTGGAGACTGGAGACTAAACTTCCGTGTGAAGGTTTGCAGGTGGAACTCAGGAAGGTAGTGGGTGAGTTGCAGGTAAGTAGCGTGATAGTCTGTAGTGTCATGTAGAGACAAGAGCAGACAATGAGTGTGTGAAGAGGAGTTGAATACATGGAAGGTAAACTGATGAGGTGCAGGTGATGGTGATTAAAACTCAGGGGACTGTGAACGAGTGAGAATCCTGACATCACTAGCCCAAAATTTACATAAACTCAACCCCCAGGGAATAGTGAGGCAGTGTTGAGAAGAGGAAGAGTTGTTGTAGTAGAGCACATTTGTGAGCCAGCTCAATCTGTCACATCCGTCTTTACACATTTACATTTATTCATTTAGCTGACGCTTTTATCCAAAGCGACTTACAGTTGCTATATATGTTAGAGGTCGCACGCCTCTGGAGCAACTAGGGGTTAAGTGTCTTGCTCAGGGACACATTGGTGTCTCACAGTGGATTCAAACCCGGGTCTCTCACACCAAAGGCATGTGTCTTATCCACGGTGCCATCACCACCCCCTGTAACACAAATACAACATATGCTTATCAATGACTTAAGCATCCACATCCGCTACATGAATTTATCAACTAACCATTCAGAACAACATATTCTCATCCCAAGAGGTCATCTAACTGACGCTTTTGACCATACGTCAACATCCGACGTTTTAGGGTACCCTTTAACATCAGTTAGATGACGCGTCATCTAACTGATGTTAAAGGGTACTTTAATAATAATAAAAACAACAACAATAATAATATGTAAAAACAATATAATATATAATAATATATTACATAATAATATAAATATTTTATAAATAACCATTTCCACTCTTTTGATTTTAATTAACTTATATGTAGTAAATATGTAATAATAGAATATTTTTCAATTATATATATATACAATTCAAAAATCTAAATATAGGGAAAAAAACAACAATATAATTAATAATACTATTACTGAATATAAATAAAAAGTAATATGTAATAACAATATTATTAAATAATATGAATTTAATTTTAAAAGTGAATTCATACAAAATAATTATTGTTTTATTATTATATTTCTAATATTTTGATGTTTATTAATTTATAAATAATGCAATCAAAATGAATATATATTAATAGTAATAATAATAATAATAATATATAATAACATAATATTATTAACTATAATATAAATGAAGACAATTTATAAGAAATAAGAAATTAGTATAGAAATTTTACTTTTAATGTCGAGTATATTATATTCCCACTATTTTGATGTTTAATTAATTTATGTATTTTAAAAATCTAAATAGTGGAAATTTAATAATACATAATTGAAAAAAAAAATCTATTTTAGATTTTTCTATCTATAAATAGTAAAGAAATCTAACTTTTAATGTTGATTCAAATGAATAGATGAAATAAAGCTTGAGCAGTCTGCAGGCGGAGCACTGATAGTCCCGGGACCTCTTGTAGGGGTGGAGAGCAGACTGTGATGGCATCTTCCTCTCAGAAGATTCATCAATGTCTTTCCAAGCTCCAGAGAACGGACATGCTGACTTGTTTTATGTGGGAAGGGCTTGGCAGGCCAGAGGGGGCCTGCGGTCTGATTGTAAAACATGGAGGAGGAACATGTTAAACGTATTGGTACAGCCATGTCAGGAAATCCCATGACCCACCACCTCCTTAGTTTCCGCTCCAGTTTCCATTAACGCAGGCCATTATAGTCAGGCTAGGTTTGCCCCGGTTTGGAAAAATCAGTGCATTGCAGCCAGGTGAGTTTGGAAACAAAAATCCTCGTAAAAAACAAAAGAGGATTTTTTTTTGTATTTGTTAAAAAAAATTGTGAAATTGTGTTGAATCCAAAATCTAATAAATGAGCATATTTAGTCAAATGGAGGAAATTTGAGTTTTAAAATAGCTCTGAAGATGGAAGGGGAGCAACGTGTCCTTCTGAACAGTGTGCTGCTATAGTCCTCATCAATCAAAACAGGTCTGACTGGAGACTATAGAGCCTTGATGAGAAGGAGAGAACCCGAAAGAAACCACTCTGAGCGCAGTACCTGTACTTCTAGAGTCTGCTAGAGTCAAGGTAAAGGGCCTATTATTGCACTGCCTATTTCTTGGACGTCACTTGATATCATACCTTTTGAAGGATGGTTCAATTTGTTCTTTCTTCTGCCCACCAGATCTGATTTCTCTTTTGCACCAAAAAAAGTTACTTTGCTCCAACTGTGACATTCTCTGAAAAAAATTCTTGCAGCGAAAATGCTTTAAATTGTAATTTTTTTTTGTAAAAAAAAAAAAAAGTAATATATTTGTACGTCATTAATTTTATTATATGTATATAAACTTAAATTCTATATTACACTATATATTTTATTTGTATTATATACTGTATATATATATATATATATATATATATATATATATATATATATATATATATATGGTATTTATACACATATTAAATTGATAACCGAATGTAACATGAATTATTCATTATGCTATATTATTAATTTATTTTATTTCATATATTTTAAATAAATAGAAATAAATATATAGTGGGGTCCAAAAGTCTGAGACAACCTGTGAAAATGCTTTGAATATTCATTTGAATGTAATATTATACATGCAATATTATACATATATACAGTAATCAATATACAGCAATCAATATATAATTGCGATTAATCACATCTAACATAAAAGATATATATATATATATATATATATATATATATATATATATATCATTAAATACTGTATTTAAATATATACAAAATATATACATATATGTATGAAGAGTTCAGATGCAAAAGCCTCTAAATGCCATTTGAAATTTTCTTCTTCAATGATGATTTTTATCAAACTTGTATATTTAAGTTCAGTAATTTCACTTAAATAACAATTAATAGGTAATTATCATTGCCATTTAAGTGAAATCACTGAACTTAAATTTACAAGTTTGATAAAAATCATCATTAAAGAAGAAAATTTCAAATGGCATTTAGAGGCTTTTGCATCTGAACTCTTCGTATACATGTAAAATATATGATATATACATATATGATAAATATATACAAATATGTACATTTATGAATATCAGGATGAAAATTGAAATATGAAATGTGTTTGATGTGTTTACAATGTTTTTCAAAACCCTAACACTTAGCACTAGCCATCTGTAACTGTGCTGTGTCGTGCGATCACAGGAGGTTTGAACATGCGGTCAAAGATTTTAAAGGGAGGATATCGGTGTGACCCTTGGGGGTCATGTACAGCTGAACAGGCTGTACCTTTTCCTGTTTGGAGCCATTTATCTTGTCCAGTGTTATCGGGGCATCGGCCGTGTCTGCGTCCTTTTTACTACACTTTTACAAAGTTTTACACGCAAACAAAATTTAAGGGTTCCACCACATACAGTGACAGTGTAACAACCGGCATCCAGAGCAAGCGAAAGAAGCTCTTCCCAAAACAAGGGTCGAATGTCACTGGCTTTGATGGATAGGTTCCCATTGGTGTCCCATGGGTTACGGAGGGGGAAGAGCCGGGCCCCGGTCTCCTTAGATCTCTCAGCAGAGAGCTGAACACAATGGAGGACAACCCTCTAGGAGTCTCGCTGGTCCGTACGGGTGCATGTGGCATTTGCAGGAAGCCAAGACTACAGGGTGTGGGGCCGTGCTCTCTGCAAAGATCCGATTTCCACATTCTTCCCTTCTGCCACACCTAAGTCCTTAATTGTCTGGCCACAGACAAAGTATTTTGAGACCGCATCATCGCAAGCCAGCTTTTTATTCGGGACCTGGATGTTTCATTTGGGCCAGACCCAGAGGTTTGGTCGGGATCGGTCGGGTTGCGTGCAGCCGTTCTCAGGAGGAGGGAAAGAAAGTGGGATTATTTGGGAATTCACGCCAGCGAGTGAGAAGAATGTTGCGTGGAAGACGCTCATCTAGTCTGCAACCTAAATACACTGCATTTTCCACATTATCCCGATATTGATATCAATCTCAATTTCAAGTGGATTGTGTAAGATGGTCTTTTCATATTAAACCCAAATCAATGCTTTGGTTACATCAGATTAAAAGATCATCGACGCGGCAGAAACCTTGCATGAGAAAGCCTTGTTGCTCCAGCATTAGCAGCTTCCAATTCCTTTCCTTTCATGTCTTTTTCCCCGCACCGCTTGTTTCTGATCAATAAAAGTCTATTTTCTCCCACACAAGGTTTCCCATTCAATACATCTGCCAGGGGTTTTAAAAACATAGAAGCATGATCCATTTATTATTGGCTGTTACCATGATCTATCTTCCCAGATTCCTGCCATTGCGAATGAGTTTTGTTTATTTTCTTTATACGCCCTTTATTGACTGCCATTGGTGGATGGCCAATCAATCACACCCTGCAAGACGTGCAATTCGCCAGCGCACACACATCCCACTCTCATCAACCAATGAAAGCGGGTTTTGCTTTAGGCCAACTTACGGCTGTTGGTTTGTGATCACGTTTTACCAGTCCTGCTGCTTTATAATTGGGTCGAATGCATAATAAGGAATGACTGACAGCACTATGAATAATGTGATTGAATATTTCATCAGGTATGATTTGCTGACCCAAATGAACAGGTCAATACCTATGTGTTAGAATGGCTGATTTGAATGAGAGTCAATAGTGAACAAATATGCTGTGTTGCTTTGGGGACCCTAGATTGTCTTTGTGATTGGCAAGTTTCAACATATTTCAATGAATCATTTTCTACACTGTAATTTGCATTGATGTATTCAATGAATTTTTCATTAGACACCGCAATTTGTGTACAAGTATCATTTATACAGAAAATGGCGTAACATGCACAAAAAAGTATGACTTAGCTACATGTTGCAATGTTAGCGCGCTAATAAGCAAGAGAAATAAGGTCTGTTTCCACCTCAAAGTAAATTACGACTATGGTAATTGGTAATTGTGACTAATACTTGAGACGTTATGTCTCGCAATTTCAAGTGTGTTTTGTTATTGTGACTTTTTATTCCACATTTACCATTTCTTCGATTGTGGGCTTTTTTATTGGAATTTCAACTTTTCCCAATAATTTGTGACCCAAAAACCCGCACCCTTAGTTACTGTTGCTACGTCCGACAAGTCATAGCGCTCTCAACTCAACGCTGTGAAAAATACATCGCGGAGAAAAGAGGACACTGACAACGTGCTGACAGACGTCCTGGTTACTTTTGATATGAAACAAAATCTCAACTTTCAAATGTTCAAGAAATTTAAATAATAATTATCGTTTAATGGCTCTTTAATGTGTCGTGACAGATCGCTGTAGCGCCTCAGGTAAACCTGCTCATCTCTTCCTTCTACTTAAAGGGATAGTTCACCCAAAAATGAAAATACTGTCAGTATGTACTCACCCTCATG